ACTAGGGCAGAGAGCTGAGCGTTGGGAAGGAATGCAGAGGTCATGGCACGAGCCGGCCAGGCCAAAGGAACATCTAGTGCACGACTCAGAGGCGCAAGCCCTGGCTGGAGTGGCTCAGTGGAATGAGTGCTGGCCTACGAACTGAAAGGTTACCAGTTCTATTCCCAGTTAGGGCACACGCCTGGGTTGCGGGCCGGGTCCCCAGTGTGGGGTGTGTGAGAGGCTACCAATGGATGTTTCTCTTGCACTCTGATGTTCCTCTCCTTCTCTCTCTCCCTCTGTCCCCCTCTCTCTAAAAATAAATAAAAACTGCCCTGGCTGGTGTGGCTCAGAGGACTGAGCGCAGACCTGTAAACCAAAGGATCGTGGTTCGATTCCCAGTCAGGGCACATGCCTGCGTTGCAGGCCAGTTCCCAGCAAGGGACCCACGAGAGGCAACCACACATTGATGTTTCTCTCCCTCTCTCCTTCCCTTCTTCTCTAAAGATAAATAAATAAAATCTTTAAAATAAATTAAAAAAATAAAAATAAGTAAAAAAAGACTCAGAGGCTGGAATTAGGATGGTTGAACAAACAGTAGTAAAGATGCCATGTTGCAGGGATGAGGGGAATGCCTGGTAGGCCTCTCAAAGCTCAGCAAATAGCAGATTGTAGGCTTTGGAGTTTGGTTTTTATTCTAGTTGAAACTGGAAACCAAACATTTGAGGGTTTCAAACATGGTGGTAATGTTCTCTATTCTACTTTAAGAGTTCTTTGGCTATTTTGTAACCTATTTAATAGACTACAGGGGCAGAAAGTGACCAGTTAGATTACTGCAGCAATCCAACCATAAAACAGAGGGGCTCAGTCCTGGCTACAAACAGTGAAGGAGGTAAGAAGTCAAATATGGGATAGTCTAGTATTTCATGGGTGGACTAGATGTAGAAGTTACAGAAGCAAAGATAGGAATCAGGGATGACTTCTTGGAATTTGGCCTGAACAACTGGGTGGGGAATGGTGCTGTTTACTGTGATGGGAAAGGCTGGGGGGTAAGCAGACTCTTTAGGGGGAAATCAAGGGTTTGCTGTAAACCATGTTAGGTCTGAGGTGCCAGCTAGACCAAGAGGAGATGGTGGGCAGCAGGCTGCCTATATGAACTGGAGATGAAGATGTAAGTCAGCACGGCTAGGGCTACCTGGGAGTGGCAAGGGCAAGATCGGCATTCTGACCAGTGAGGCCAGAGCTGCAACGTCTTGCAGGCTAGGGGTTCTCACCTATTTTCCCGGTGCACCTTTGACACCTGCTTTTGGAGCAAGTACTCCCTGAGAGCCTCCACATCATAGAAGCGGTCAGCCAGGAACTGGAGCAGCCTTCTCCCCTTCCTCTGATTGCCCTCTGGGGCCACTGCACTGCTCAGGTCACGGATGCCCTTGGTAACCCCATTCCATACTGGGGCCACCAGTTTCAGGGACTGGGGATGAAAAGAGGAGAGACTGAGCCTGGAGAGCCTCCTGTGAGAGAGCTGCATCCCTCTGGTCTGTCCTTAGTCCATGAACTCGCCTCCCCCCACCCCAGTGCTTCCTGATTCACTAAATTCTCCTTTCAGAAGTTCCTGATTCTACATTTGGGATTCCCAACTTTCCCTCCATGTATCCCCCAGTTTTCCCCTTAATCAGCCGTAAATTCTCTTTGATTTAGCCAAACTTTCTTGGTTTTCCCAAATTCTCTTCCGCCACCCCCCACCCTTATTTTCTCTTAAAACCCCCATTATCTGACCTCTTAATTTCCCACAAATTCTCCCCTTAATTTTACCCAGTTCTCTCTGGAGTCTTCTTGAATAACCTATTTCCCCCAAATATAATCTCAATTTTTTTCCAAATCACCCTTAACTTACCTCATAAAATCCTCAAACTGTTCCTTCGACTTCCCCTCAAAGTGTTATGTTTGCCCCATTTTTTTCTTTTAATCAAAATTGTTTCCCCAAAATCCTACTTTCCCTCAAAATTCCTTGTAAGCTCCCAAACTCTTTAATTTTCTCTAAGTTCATTCCTGAGTTTACTCAATTTTCTAAATCTTCTCCATGATTGCCGCAAATTCTCCCCTTAATGCCCCCCACGTTCGTTCCTTGGAACTACCAAATTTACCTGTTGATGCCCTCGCCCCCCCCGTAATCCCTTTGGTTTTCCATCAAAATTCCCCTGAGTTTCCCTCACCTGCATCCTCTGGCATCCTCCACTTGGCCCCGGACAATGCCTTCCCAGCCCTGTTTCCATTGCAGGTCCCACTCCCGCCAGCCCATCCGCCCCCTTAGCAGGCAGTCCAATCTCTCCCTCTGATTGGGTGGGCTCGACAGCAACAGAACGCACCCCTTGCTCCCGCATTGGTTTCTCTCTGCCAAATCCCCGCCCCCACTTCCTCTTTAACTTCTCAGTAGCAGGCGACCGGCACACGTTCCCGACCCGAACAGCTACGTGTCTACGCTGTTAGCGCGAGGCCCGGGGGCAGAGGCCTCCAGCAGCCCCGCTACTAATCCCTGCGCGCCGACAAAGGCCCTGAAGGCAGGGGCAACAGGGCAGGCTTCAATTTGGGAGCTCTAGGAACTCCGGTCACCTACCGCCCTGGGCGCCGCCATCTTCTCGGGATTACATACCGGAAGGGGCCGGCCTTTTCTCGTACCACCCACCTGGGCCTGTCTTTGACGTCCTTTATGGTCACACCTTCGTCTTAAAGGCGCACGCACTTTAAGTGCACCTTTAAGTTCTCTTACCGTATTTAGGGATTTCTGTGAGTGCCCTTTCCGTAGGTGTTATAATGAGTCTCTAGCCTTTTCTAGGAGAGGGTGAGCAGTCCTTCCTGTTTGATTCCTTTCCTCTGACTGCAGTCACAGCTCCCCGGAGCTTCCCTGTTCTCCAGCTCTCACTAGCTACCTCCTTACAAAAGTGAATGATGTTCCTAAAAGCGGACTGGCATTCTTTTTCCCTGGAAAAGAAAAAGGTAGAGTGGGTGGCAAGGTAAGCCTTCAGGGTAAGAGATGGAGGTAAATTCTCAAGATTAGTATTGTGATGTGTTTATGATTTCAGTTTCGAGTTCAAGGCTAGATCTCAGAGTGAAGATTCAGTGTGAAATCGTGAGGATAGAATCATTCATTTCTTCATTCTACAGATATTTACTGAGCACGTACCACAGGGCAGGAGCTCCTCTGGATGCTGAGGTTACCATGATGAACAGGATAGATCCAGCCCTTCACTCAAGGAGTCAATATTCCAGGCAAGGAGAGGATAGATAAGAAAAAATGAATCAGCAAGATAATTTCAGATAACATTTGGTAAGAGACAAATAAAACCAACCAGGTAACACAACAGAGGGTGACTGCTGTATAGGGCCATTGGGAAAAGCCTCTGAGGAGATGACATTTAAGAAGAGGAAACTCCCAGATCTGGGAGTACAGTGTTCCAGGTAGAGGTACCAGTCAGTGCAAGGAGCAGAGGTGGGAGCCACCTTGCAGAGAGAGGTAGAAGCCTGGGTTAGAGAGGTGGGCAGGGGGCTGACTGTGCAGGCCTGGTAGGAGTTTATTGCATTCACAAGACAGTCATATGATTTAGATGTAAAGATCATTTCTGTCAGACTGAAAACAGATCTTAGAGGGCAAGGGTGGAAGCAGGGGGCAACAAAGAGGCTACAAGAATCATCCAGACCAGGGATGAATGGGGACAGGAGCGGGGATGGGGTAAAGGAAATGGTGAGAGGTGCTCAGATGATGAGTTTGTTTGAAGGCTGAGCCAACAGCTGGGGAAACTAAAAAGATGCTGATGCCACTGATAGAGATGGGAAAATGGGGGAGTGGCAGGTGTTTGCATGGATAGGTGTGGTAAGCTGAAAATGACCCCCCCTCCCCTGCCACAACCAATGTCCACATTCTGATCTCTGGAAACCGTGACTATGTTACTTTCTATAGTATACAGAAGGTGCGTTTAAGGTAATAATGTTAAAGTGGGGAGATTATCCTGGATAATTAAAGCAGGCCCAGTGGGTATTATAATACCCACTTCATATACCCACGAAGGTATTATAAAATGGAGGCAGGAGAGTTGTGAAGGTAGGAGTGATGTAAAGAAGGGGCTACGGGCCAAGGAATGTGGTGGCTTTTGTAACCTGGGCAAGGGTGGGAAATGCATTCTCCCCTAGGGCCCCCAGAAGGAACCCAGCCCTGTGAACCCATTTGAGGCTTCTGACCCCTAGAACTGTAGGAAAATAAGTTGGTGCTGTTTTAAGCCACTAAGTTTGTGTAATTTGTTACAGTAGCTCCATGAAACTAATAGTGTGGTGGGTCCCACTTGAGAATTGTGCTTTGACTGTATTCTCGCTGAGACATCCAGGTGGAAAAGGTCAGGAGGTCAGGACTGGAGTCAGGGGCTTCGGAGCCCTTGACAGGTTGATGGAATTTGCACCCCCTGTCCTAACAGAGGGGTTCTGCAGTGTGTTCCAACCTCCTCCGTGGCAGAGCCCGATGCTCATAGTGATAATGTCTCTTGGCAAACCTAGAGTCAGCAGTACTGGCTGCTCAGGGTAAGCCAGCAGCCTGGACAATCAGGCACCCCAGCTGAGGGATCGTTCTCTTGAAAGCTGCTCCTGACTCCTCAGGCACACTGGTTGGGAAGCCCTGAGAAGACCTGAGTGGAGAAAGGCACAACTAAGTTCAGGGTTGAGGGTGAGTGGTGGGTGGGACCTAGGAGAAGGCTAGACAGGAGGACGCCCGGCATCATGAGACACAAAGCACAGGGAGAGGTTAGGCCTGAGAAGGGGCAGGGATGGGTAGAGTCACACCCTGTGACCAGAGTTGAAGTTAGACTTCAGAAAGAAAAAATGCAGATTCACACTGGAGAATGGACTTTGGGATTCCATGTCAGACCTTCCCACCCCCCTTCCATTGCCCTTTAGTCCCCCCACCCCCAGATTCCCAGGAGGCTGGGTCATTCTGGACCTTGAAACTTCCTGCTCCTGGGAGCCACAGCTCAGAGACTATGGAGCTGTGGAGGCAGCTGAGGCAGGCTGGACTGCTGCCCCCAGGGCTGGGCTCACCCCCCAGGGCCTTGAGGGATGTCCCCCCATCAGGGAGAGCTGGCCAGACCCTCATGTTTCCAGAGGCACACACTGAAGGCACTAGGGAGAGTCTGCTGTGGATCTGGGAGGAGCTGGTAAGTAGGGGCTTTGAGGAGCAAGAGGTAGAGTATGGGGAGGGGACTGACTGAATGAATGGAATGCATGGAAATATAATGGGCCAGAGATTGAGGGACAAAAATTGAGAGACATGAATAGAGAAATAGAGGCAGAGACAGAGAATGAGAGAGCTAGAGAGAGAGGAGAGAGAGAGAGAGACATAGACCCAAAGAGTAGAGACGGGAATACAGACAGAAACAGAGACCTAGAAAGAGAGACAGAGATGGAAATAAGATATGAACAGCAACAAAGACAGAGAAACTGAGATTAAGTATGAGAGACAGAGATGGAGAGAAAAGCAGAAAAATAGAGGCAGAGAGAAAGAAAGGGATATGGAAAGACAGGCACAGGTGGAGACAGAGATAGATAACATAAGAGGGAAACAAGAGAAAGATAGTAAGAATCAAACACACACACACACACACACACACACAGGTAAACACCATGAGGGACAGTGAAATGGGGAGAGAGACAGACAGACAGACAGACAGACACTGTGAGAAGCAGAATGGCAGTGAGGGCCCAGGGACACATAAAGAACCTGCCCAGGAACACATGTTACAGGTAGTAAGGTGACTACTATAGGGACCACTGCAATGGGATTTTGCAGTAGAAGAGACAGATTGGGCTGACTCCAAGTAAAGCATGGGTGAGTGGAAATTTACAGCCTGGGAGGAGCTGAGGGTCAGTAGATGGAAAGTTACATCAGCTGGAAGGGGGGTTTGGGGGTAAACTGACTCAGCAGGATTCCTGTGGAAGGCAGGCCAGGATGATCAGTTGATCAGACATCTGCTGGTGGGTGTGGAGGCATGAAAAACCCGATTAGATAAGATATGGAGAGTATTCTGGTGTGGAGGATGGGGATTCTTGTTAAAACTGAGTTTTGCAAGGAGGTGCACAGATGGGCTTAGGAAAAGGTTCAGGAGCCTGACTAAAGTTCGGTCAAACTGAGGGTCTTTGTCAGGTTTTGAGATGAGACCTACTCCCACTCAGGTGGTGGTTGTGGGGCGTGCTCTCTGTTGGTGCCATGTCCATGTCCCACTTCCCTCCGGCAGGGGAACCTCCGCAGAGTGGATGTCCAGCTGCTGGGCCAGCTATGTAGCCTGGGACTGGAGATGGGGGTGCTTCAGGAGGAGCTGGCTGCCTTCCTGGAAGAGGAAGATGAGGAGACCCTCAAGGAAGAGGAGGAGGATGAAGAGCCTGAGGGGAAGCAAGAGGAAGGATGTCTGGGGGTCCCCTGTCCAGTCCCAGGCTACCGCCTTCCTGATTTTGAGATGACTATCTGAGGCCAGCGTGTTTCCCATCGGCATATGGAATTTTATGCAAATTTATGCAGAAGAGGGGTGATTCACTGGTCAGATCAACCTGCAAATGTTGATTTGGAGTCAACACATGCTCCTGAGCAAGTGCTTTCCCTGAAGATGTGCAGTGAGATTCAGGGATTGGGCTGTGAGCTGTGGGCATGTTGAGGATGAGGCGGGAAGCTTGCAGGGTGACTGTAGGTGTATTTGCAGGTGAGCTGCAGGAGTGTTGCAGGGGCGATGAGGGTCTTTGCAAGTTGAAAGGAAATGCTTGCAGGTGAGGTTTTAGATCAAGGCTGTCCACTGGCCTCACGAGGCTATTGAGCATTTAAAATCTGCTGGCCCTAACTGAGGGGCATGCCAAGTGGAACACATGCTAGATGATGACCTTTCAAAGACTTAATATAAGAATATGAAACATTTCAATGATCTTAAAAATTAATTACATATTGAAATAATATTTGGAGTATATTGTGATAAAATATTACTAAACTAATTTCACTTGTTTAAGATTTCTTAATGGTAAAATATACATTAAAATGAACCATTTTAACTATTTTCAAGTGTACAGATCAGTAGTGTTAAGTACATTCCCATTGCTGGGCAACCCTCACCACCATCCGTCGCTAGAGCTCTTTCACTCTTGCAGGACGGAAGCTGTACCCATCGAACAGCTCTCTACGCTCCTCTCCCACCAGCTCCAGGCAACCTCCATCCCACTTTGTGTCTCTGTGAATTTGACTACGGTAGGAGCCTCATGTAAGTGGGATTGTTGGTGTAAGTAGTTAGCTAGTTATTAATAAAGAGGAAGAACAAAGGGAATCGGACATTGAGCTTAATAAACTAGGGAGATGAATCAAAGCTTAATAACCTGGGGAGTTGAATCCAATATTTGCCCTGCTTCTACTAGGAAGCTATGGCTTCCACAGACCTGTTTACATACTTGGAGCGGTTGTTGCCCAGAGTGAAGCAGGCAGGAAAGCCTCCCAGGGGGTGCTGCCCCTAGTACCCTTATCAGAGGGAGGTGGAGGGCAAATTCCTCTGCTGGGCACGTGGGTAGTAAAAATGAGGTGACATAACAGAACTTTTAAGCATTTGCCATAGAAGCCAAAATGGCAACACGAAGGGGAGGAATCTAGCCTGGGAAAATCTGGGAAAAGAATTGGATTTGATAAGGGATGTAGAAGCTGGTTAAGGGGAGGGCCCAACTCAGGCTCGGGGAGAATTAGGAATTTGGTTGGTTGGTTTGAATTGCACCTTGCTTGTCACTGAAAGCCAGGAAAATGTATGCAGGATTATAAAATCCTGGGACAGCTGCTGCTTGAGCCTGTGCTCTGTCTACATTCCTGATGGCCTATCAGTTCCCTTACCACAATAAAATCATTCAGGTTAAACTTCTCCATGCCCGTGCCCTGTGAAGTTCCTTTGTTGCAATACTACAGAACAGCCCACTTTCACCAGCAACAAGATCTTATAGTGTTTGTACTTTTGTGTCCAGCTTACTTCACTCAGCATAATGTCTTTAAGATTTATCCATGTTGTAGCGTGTGTCAGAATTGTCTTCCTTTTTTATGCTGAGTAATACCCCAGAGTGTGTACATTCCACATTTTGTTTATCATTCATCTGTCCATGGACACTTGGGTGGTTTCTACATTTTGGCTAGTAGGAGCAATGCTGTTATGATAATGAGTGTACAAATATTCGTTTAAGTTCTTGCTTACCATTCTATTTAGTCTACCTAGAAGTGGATTTCTGGATCATATAGTAATTCTATGTTTAATTTTTTGAGGAACCAGCAGACTGTTCTCCATAGTGGCCATCCCATTTGGTATCCTCACCAACAGTGCATAAGAGTTTTAATTTCTCCACATGGATGCCAACGCTTGTTGTTTTGTTTTTTCTTTTTTTCATAAGACATTCCTAATGGGTGTGAGTTTGAATCTCGTGGTTTTGATTTGCATTTCCTTAATATTTAAAGATATGGAACATCATTTCAAGTGCTTTTCTGTTCTTACATTTTTATTTTTAAATATACAAAATTATTCATTTTTTTTAAAGAGAGAAAGAGAAGAGGAGAGAGAGAAATGTTGATTTGTTGTTTCACTTTGTTATGCATTCATTGGTTGGTTCTTGTATGTGCCCTGACCAGAGATTGAACCTGAAATCTTGGCATATTGGGATGATGCTCTAACCAACTAAATTACCCGGCCAGGGCCTCTTCTTACATTTTTAAATACGACTGCAAGAAACTGAACATCACATATGTAGCTCCCATTGTATGTCTACTGTGCAGCACTATTTCAGAGGTTTGACAGTGGAATGTGGGTGTGAGCAGATGAGCAGTGAGTGCTTCTAGATGTTCACAGAAGTGTTGCAATGAGTCACAGCTCCACCTGCAGGAGGCAGGCAGGTATGTGCACATGTGGCTGAGGAAAAGCAAACTGCAGATGTCACTATAGTCTTGTTGCAGAAAAAATGCCCAGGGCAGCAGGTGGAGCGCTCCAGCCTGAGGAGAGACATTTATTCAGGGGAGATATTTGGGCATTCACAAAACCATACACACTGACAGTTTTGCAATTCTGCAATTTCTATTAGGGAGTGAAGAGGTTCCTGGAGAAGAGAGGTGTTGGCAGAAGAGGTGCTGAGTCCCTGTCCATGGAGATCTCCTTAAAAACAAGGGGCTTCCTTTTGTTCTGTGGAGTCTCCTAAGACTGAGTGCTTTGGGTGGGCTTGGGGGTTCAGGCTCCATCTCCCACCCAGTCCTCCTTAGTCAACCATAGCCAGGTCTCCGACTTCTGGGAGCTCTGCTGTAGTAGGCAGGCTGGGAAGAAGGCTGAAAGTCAAATCCCAGTACCTAGTGAAGGGGTGAGACACCCCAAGAGCATGCAGCTAAACCGAAATTTCTCTCCTGACTTGGCACACTGGAAGAGGCTGGGCTCTTGGGTCTCTTGCAAGTTACGTCCAAATGTGCTTGGGTCATGCTTCACAGATACCAAGTCTCTTGGGGGAAGAGAGACTGGGGTGGGGGAAGGGGCACTGAGGGCAGACTTCAGTGAGTGACTCTGGAGGCAGTGCACACTGTGCAAGACCAGCATGGTGGGTGGTCTGAAATACCTGGGTGGCAGCTCTTCTCAGCCATGGTCTGGACCATGGAGGTGACATTTATGTGGGAGGCTCTCAGGGAACATGGGTGAGTGTAGCCTCTTCCATCTGTATAATCACCAGTGCTGGTGTTACTGAGCTACAGCCAGCAATGTCCAAGTCAGCCCCAGGACTGGTCTGCTGGACTCTCCATTCAGCAGAATGGGGAGAAACCACTCACCACACAGGGACAGTGGAAATGGTCAGGACTGGGATGGAAGAGGCCCAGTTGGCCGAGGGAACACAGATGAGGCAACAAGCCCAGCCTGAAACATTTGAAAAGTATCCTCAGAGGAGAGCAGAAAGATTAAGAAAAAATGAGCCAAGCAAAGAAAGGAAATAGGAAGAGTATAACAAGCAGAAAATGAGCATAAACAAAAGTCACAAGATGATCTTGTGATCTAACCTCTTGCTACTCCAAGTGTGGTCCACAGACTGGCAGTGTCAGCCGGGCTACAGCCATCTACTTATCCACAGCAAACAGCCCCAACTCAGTTGTTTTAAAGCAATGGCAGCCCTGGATGGTGTGGCTCAGTGGACTGAACGCCAGCCTGAGAACCAAAGAGTTGAGGGTGTGATTCCCAGTCAGGGCACATGCTTGGGTTGCAGGTTGGGTCCCCAGTAGGGGGCACATGAGAAGTAACCACACATTGATGTTTCTCTCTGTCTCTTTCTCTCTCCCTTCCCCTATAAAAATTAAATCTTTTTTAAAAAGACACATTTTCTATAAAAAATAAACAATGGCAGAATGTATTTTGCTCACAAATCTGCAGTTTGCAGAGATGGCTCATCTCAGGTTCAGCTAGAATCATCTGAAGGCACACCCAACTCCCAATCTGCAAGTTGGTGCTGGCTGTTGGCTGGGGCCTCTGTCCCTCTCCACATGGTCTCTCCTTGTGGGCCAGACTGGGCTTTCACACAGCATGGTCGTGGGTTCCAAAGGCCAGGGTCCTAAAGATGAGCCAGGAAGATGCCACATCACCTCGAATGGTCTCACCTCAAAAGTCACGCAATCACTCTTCCCACATTTTGTTTATTAAGGTAATCGCAACGTCCTGTGTGGTTTAAGTCAAAGAGAAAGGGACTTAAGGTTTTCACGAGAAGCGCATGTAAGACAGGAATTATGGCTGTGGTCCTTTTTGGAAACACACTGTCACAGCATCACCTGGGAGCTTGGTAGACATGCTGATTCCTAGGTCCCGCCCCAGAACTACTCAATCAGAATCTGCATTTTATAAGATTCTCAGGTGCTATTTTTGCATAATCAGTTTGAGAATCCCTGTTGTAAATCATAAGCGTGGCACTGTTTTGAGCAGGAGGGGCATGTATTAAGTTTCAAAAGTTTCCTTTGGCTGCTGTGTAGAGTCAGCCTGCCCCTGTGTTTGAAAATATTTTCAGATGGTAATGATGTGAAGCAAAGATAAGATTTATAAGACTTACTTCTTTCATCAGATCAATGCCAGAGAGAGCCCTGTGTTCCAGACGTGGTCAGTGGAACCAAAACCAGATTTCCAAAGTCAAATACTGAGTCCTTAGTTCCACACCCTCTCCTTGTTAAACACCTCCCCTTCTAAAAATTATTATTATTTTTATTTTTAGAGAGAAGGGAATAGAGGGAGAAAGAGAGAGAGAGAAACATCAATATGAAAGAAACATCGATCAGATGCCTCTCATATGTGCCCCAACCAGGGACCAAACCTGCAGCCCAGGCCTGTACTCTGACCTAGAATTGAACTTGCAACCTTTAGGTTTGCGGGGCGAACCCCAATCAACTGAGTCACACCAGTTAGGCCACCCCCCATTTTTAAATAAATGCATATGACAAAGTTCCTTAATCTGAATACTGCTCCAACATGCAATGGCCAAAACCACATTGCCATTACAACACCCGATTTTTGTTTATCTTCCATCTTGAATTTTTGTTCCTATGGATCCTCAGGCCACTTTTCACTGCCCTTGATTGTCACTGTTATGGTGATCCACGCCTTACACACCCAGTTTCTCCTTGATATGTCTATCAATCCAGCCCACATCCCTCTTCGTGGAGCAGCATTAACACCATCGATGTTCTATATGTGATCCCGGAGAGGAGAGCAAGGAGAGGGCTATGGGACAGTGTCTATAAAGTCCACAGCAGTGGACTGTATATTGCAGGCTTTTACATTCATTCACCACTCACTACTGACTCACCCAGAGCAACTTCCAGTCCTGCAAGCTTCATGTATGGTAAGTGCTCTTCATAGGTATACCATTTTTATTTATGTACCATATTTACTGCATCTTTTCTATGTTTAGATATACAAATACTTACCACTGCATCACAATTGCCTATGGCAGGGGTATCAAATTCATTTTCACCAGGGGCCACATCAGCCTCGCAGTTGCCTTCAAAGGGCAGAATGTAATTTCAACTCTTTAACAATTGAAGAGTAGTTACATTTACACAGCCCTAAAATTATTTTGGCCCTTTGAAGGCAACCTCGAGGCTGATGTGGCCCCCAGTGAAAATGAGTTTGACACCCCTGGCCTGCAGTATTCAGAACAGTAACATGCTGTGCAGGTTTGTAGCCTAGAAATGATAGGCAGTATCCTACAGCCCAGGTGTGGGTGAGTGCACTCTATGATGTTCACACAAGGACGGAATTGCCTAATGATGCCCATCTGAGAATATATCTCCATCGTTACATCATGCATCATTGTGGTGTTGTTGCCAAAGATGAAGTAGGGTTGTTAATGGACAGCAGAGTCAGAGCAGTAATTGTAACAGTCTGACTCAGAGGCCTCTGGCTTTTGCTGGTTGATCATGGTGTTCCTAGAAGTGAAATAGATGGAAAGTCTACTAAATTCTTACTTGCTCTGTATAAACAGATCAAACAAGTCAAATAAACAAAAGCCTAACCTGCCCTGGCTGGTGTGGCTCAGAGGATTGAGCAGTGGCCTGTGAATCAAAAGGTCACCAGTTCGATTCCCAGTCAGGACATGTGCCTAGATTACAGGACAGGGCCCCTATAGGGGGCATGGAGAGGCAACCACACAATGATGTTTCCCTCTTTTTCCCTCCCCTCCCCTCTGCCTAAAATAAATAAAATCTTAAAAAAAATAACAAAAGGCCTAACCCGACTCATAAAAAGAGAAACTAACAGCCCCTCAATCAATTTTTGGAACCCCTTGAATGAAAGGAAGGCTGTGTTCTCTTGGGGAAAGACCCCAGTACACGACCTGAAATTTACACTGTTATTCTTTTTCCCCACC